CAGATGGACGCTCATCCTGAGCCTGGTTCTGCAGGAGGTTTCTTCCTGTTAAAAGGGAGTTTTTCCTTCCCACTGTCTCCTTTGTGCTTGCTCAGGATGGGAGACCGTGACAAAGTGAAGACTCAACGTAATCTGCTTCCTTAGATAGAGAACTTTTACTAACTAGCTTTTATTATGTACCGTAATTTCCGGACTATAAGCCGCTACTTTTTTCACATGCTTTGAACACTGTGGCTTATACAATGCTGCGGCTAACTTATGGATTATTTTTTTTGGACAGGCTAACGAGCTTCATGCCACCAAAACATTTAACTTCGTCACACCCGGGCACTCACATAGTTGCCCAATACACGTCTCTCTTGGGGGGGGGGGGGGGGTCCTTGTGACTCAACAAGACTACCTGTATAAATAAAGGTAAAAAAAAACGGACTAATGAAATTACCGTGCAGGTCAAAGTGGACCAATGAAACTTGGGGAAGCTCCCTGCTCTCTCCTCCCCTCCTCGTTGTGCCTCCAGGGAAGGGGAAAACTTTGTTTCATTGCAAATACTTCCTCCAATGAAGTACTTCTAGCCACTCGAAATAATTGCTAATTGTGCATTTAAAACGACACACTGAGCCCGGCGGGAGGCTTGGATGAGTAGCGGCAAAAAATTGTTTACCAAACTGGTCGCATGAGAAGAGCAACTTTTGCTCAAGTCTGCCAGTGGATCCTGACAGTGGAGCAGTGCCAAAAGCACACAGGCGCAGTGTGCAGGAGGAAGATGAAGATGGCGATCACCTCCTGGTAGGCTATTGTATATTTCTTTTTAACCAGCAGTGTTACAGGCACTGTTCAATACAAAAACATTTACTGTATGTATTTGTATATGTTACTGGTACGTATTTAATTAAAATGTTTAAAAAATCTTCTTGTGTAACTATCTCATGTTACAATATAGAAACCGCGGCTTATAGACAAGTGTGGCCTATATGTGTACAATTTATTTATTCATTTTTAATTTAGTGGCCACGGCTTATTATATTCAGGTGTGCTCAATAGTTTGGAAATTACAGTGTGTGAATCTTCTGTTGTACTTTGGCGCTATAGAAATAAACTGAACTGAATTGATTTTGAGCTGATAGGATCTTGAGGAAACTAGGAATTTGCGATATAAACGGTACATGGTAGAAACGATAGACATTTAGTCTATGATAGAGGTCTGTGTTCTACCGGCTAACCGCAGTAATGCTGTGTCTGATGTAAAATCAGAGTTGTCAGATTTAATCGTTACTTTTTTTAGTTGAAAACTGCTTAAGTGGTGTTCAAGTCCTTTCTTCTTTTTTTTCTTCCTTTATTGAAAGGGAGTAATTTACAAAATTGTGAAAGCATATTAACAACCAGTTTTAAGCAACTCTCAGCAGGGCACAAATAAAGTAAACAAGGATAAATAAACTGAAAAAGAAAGTAAGAAGACAAAGTTGTGTGTCCTTTCTTCGAGAGCTAAGTAGCAAAGCTACAAGCTAACTACAGCCGTATACCTACCTATGCCGTACTCATATTCGGACGCATGTGCAAAACGTTGCCTTCCGTCGAAAGTTGTTTTTTTCGTTGAAAGTTCATTGGTCAGCTTTAGAGTGCATTTGTGCTAATATAAAAATTAAAAAAAAAAATTTAAAACCAAGGGTTAAACCTGCTCTCTGATCTGTGAAAAGAACGCGGTGTTGTGTGATTTTACTGCGAGACCCTCTGGTCAAAGCCACAGAGGAAACTGGTCGCCATTTTGTGTCAGCTCTCCTTAAAGCGGAAGGAGACGCCCACTAGAGGTTTGGAGGGTGAAGTGGTTCAGTTGCTGCTCTGTTGCTGTTCATTTATGAAGTAAGAAGACTGGAAACTGTTAAGAGTTAACAACATTCTTTTGTTTAAAACATATGGCTAAACCTACATTTGATATATTTTGCACTGTTTTGTACTACAAGAAGCCTAATACTTGATTTGTTTATTATTTAAAAACTTTCTGGAACTAGTAGTGGAATTTTCTTAATTCTGATTATTTTGTAGTATAGCAGTTTTCCATCTAAATGATGGCAAAAGGACACCATATGCTTTTTTCATTCTTATTGCACGTTTTATACCAAAAACATATCGTGATATATATCATTACCCTTCACAATATATATTGTGATATGAATTTTATGCCATATCACACATCCCTTGAGGAAACTCTGTAATCCTGTCGTGTCAATTTTTTTTTGTCTAGAAGGTCAGATTTATTGGACACAGGCTGTTCTCTGTTCTTCTGGAACTGTTAATGAAATCACAACATATTTAATGGTTTTAAAATCTGTCTTCAGCATTAGTATTAAACATGTCTCCAGTTCATTTCTAACTCTAAATGTGATTTATTCCAGGATGAGGAGGAACAGATGGGATTAAACGTTCCCCGCCAAACGGGGGTTAACTGGACGTTGTGACGAGGGGCGACATATTTACAGAGGGCGAAGGAGGCCATCTCGCGTTACTGACTCTGGCAGCTCAAAAAGCTGTGTCTGTGCCAACAATAAGCAAATCTCCTCGTGTTAAAACTTCCTCCAGTATCCCAGCTTAAAAAAAAGAAAGGAGAAGAAGACCCCAAATCAAAGAAAGAACATCTGGGAGCAAGGAACAAAAAACCCTCAAACAACCGTTAAAAACAGCCCTCAGAGAAATGCGTATCAAAATCTTTTTTACCGAGAAACAAGAGAGCAAAGGAAGAAAGGGGGTGGAGATGAAAGTGTGGATAAAATTGCCTCCGTGGTGTGAGTGCTGCAGGTGGGAGGTAAATGAAAGGTAGACTGGGAATTTGGAGCTCTTATTCTGCAACAAATTAGACCTATATCTCTCGAAGTGGGGCACAAGTGTCCTTGGCTACTCTGCTTCTGTCCCTTCCTTCCCATCTTACATTATTTGATGTTATCATCATCGACTTGAAATAGCTTAATATTTGTGTACTCCCTCATCCAACGGCAATTTCATTCTTGAGAAGGAGGTCGAGGCCCGGGAATAATGCCTCATTGTGCGAGGTGCTTTCAATAAGTGCCTTTGTTGCTCCAAAATCATGACGATAATTTGGTTTTGGGAACAATGCTATTCGTCGGCCAATGTGTGTTCAAGGGCACGGCGCTGATGATGGTGTCCGGGCTCTTTTTTGTCATTTGAGAGCAAGATAAGCACCTCTGGAAAACACCGTGGATGGCTTTATAATGCTGGTTCCATTAGCCGGGATTGCTCGTCCAAGGTTATATAAGGCTAACGATTAGCATTCAAAAGACACTTCTGTTCAATTTCAGTGGTCAGCAACACATTCGTTCAGCAGCACATCGGTATGCAGCTCATATCCGAAGTCCCACTGAAGAGATTTGGCTTGTGCATGTGTGTGTGCGCGTGTGAGTAAACATATCCCCCAAAAAGACTTGGAAAACAAGAAAAAAGGAAAAACATGCAACAAAAATACCTTCGTCTCGAGGCTTGTTCATTGAAGATTCATCAGTTTTTTTTGTGAGCGGACCTAGGGTTAAGAAAAAAAGGGGGGAAAAAGAGAAAAGAGAAAATTCAAAAAAGATTACTGGCAAAAACCGATAAAAAAAAAAAAACAAGAAAAAAAAAAAAAAAACAAGAATACCAAAAAAAGAAAAGAAGCAAGAGCAAAAAAAGACAAACCAGCAAGAATGCATGTGTTCATTGTGCGTTTGTGTGTGTTTTCTTTAAAAAGAGCACAAAAAAGCATCACAGACACAGATTTATGACAAGAAAAGACACAAGATCAAAGAAAACTGATGTGGGTGTGTTTCCCCTAAAGAAGAAAATGGCTCGTTTGTCTCATTTAAACCATTTTTAGCCGTTTCAGTGTAACGTTTTGAAGCGGACCAGGTGGGGAAAAAGTGAAAATAAAACGGCCTTAGTGGTTTGAAGAACAGGACCCAGCCCTTTAATCCACCAAAAAAATGGGGACAGAGATTTAAAAACTCATTGGCGAGAAAAAAACGGTAACCTTGAAGAACGGCAGGTTTGGGTCCCGTTGCTCAAACGCCAAAACTTTAAGCAGACAGAACAAGCGGCTCGTTAATTACGAGACCTTTACTTTTTAAGAAAGACACACTGGAGACAAAGACAAGTTTAATTGGACAGCCCAGCCGAGACAATGACCCTGTAACGGTAAGAAGCATGTGAAACACGACTCGGGTAAAAACAGGAAACAAGCGCTTTAGTGTTTTGCGTTATTTAGTGGTTAAAGCAGGGAGCTTTTCCCCGGGCGGGTAAATAATTACATGGAACAACAGCAGTTTGAAATGACAGGACAGCGTGACGCTAATTGCACAGAGGAGTTCAGGTAAAAGGTGAGTTTAATTTGATCCCCATCAGCCCACGGGCTGGTTGGTGAAAATTAAAAGTGTGAAGGGGAGACGAAAAAAGAACCTCTTTTTGTTCACCATCTGTTTTATTGGACATTGCTGCCGAGCTCATTCTTGTGGGAAAAAAATCATCTCGTTTGAACACATTCGTCTGTTTTTCTACATCCATCAGAGATGTCGCCCAGTGGAATCAAGTCATGTTTCTTATTGACGCAATCATGTGGTGGTAAAAATATTCACAAGCTGAGTATTTATTCAAAAAATACTACCAGAGTACCTTTCATCCAGTAGCGTAGTCTCTTGGTACGCGGGCATACAGCGTATACCCATTAGAAAAGCGTGGGAATTTCAATATACCCACTTAAAAGTGCACAATGACACGAGCCCATGTCACCTATCACTGACAATGCTACGTGTCATGGGCTCGTGTCATTGTCAAAACATCTGGAACATTTTATAGACGCAATGAGCTGGCTCAACCTGCTTTTTGTATAATTAATAATTCTGTACTTACTACTTAATACTTGAACATGTTATGCTTTGATACTGTTTTATCAATTCTATAACATGTTTTTAATACAAAGCCAACTTTTGCACAAAGTTTGTTGTACATTTATTCAAATATAAGCATCAGAGACATTTGGAAATGTTCAATATGCTTAAAAATCTAAATGAATTAACGATTACATTGCACTAACCGGTGTACTTTGGTTTCTAAGCACAGTTTAGCCACTACAAAAGAACGTAGACTACATCACTGCTTTCATCAGCTTTCTTTTTATCTCCTGGACACACCTCAAAAGCTCAAGATTTAAAAAAGAGACTTATTCTTTATTTAATATGCGATAGAAGAACATTTGCTATAGTTAGAAGCAACACGAGCCGAAACATTTCACTGAACTTTTGTTTTGGACTCAGTGTTACCCAATGGCTGCCTTTACCCCCCCAAAAAGTTCACAAATAACCCGTGAAAGGGTTAAACTGGATACAAATACCTTGATTCAGAAAAATACTGAGACAAAAAACTCAACCTTTCACTCGTCTTTATTGTGACTCAGAAATATTTTTGGGAGTTTAAACGTTAAAAAAAAGTTTCATAGTTCGCGCTCAATAATCCAGGTAAAAAAAAAAAATCAGACAAAGTTCAGTCAGGTCATCTGGATTGTTTATTTTTGTTGAAATGTTTCGTCCTTCATCCAAAGAACTTCATCAGTCCGAGGAGCCACAGCAAAATCAGTCCCACAAGAAGCACACTCACATAATGGGCCAACCAGTTTGATGGCGATAAGATGGCTTCTGGAGCCCGCCCTCTCCCCGTCGACTCCTCTGAGGCAGTCGTAGCCATTGTTGTAGCTCCTCGCACTGACGAAGTCCTTTGGATGAAGGGCAAAAGTTTCAACAACAACAAGAAACCATCCAGATGACCTGACAACTTTGTTGGCTTTTCTAACTGGATTATTGGGCATGAACTTTGATGTTTTGAACCACTTTGGCTCTGTCTGCCTCAGAGGAGTCGATGGGGGAGAGGGTGGTCTCCAGAATCAGAATCAGCTTTACCACTATTGCACAGTTAAGTACAGCAAATTTACGTTCCGTACAGCCGTCCAAAAGATGGATGGAAGTGTACGGAAACCATTTTATCACCAGCAAACTGGTGGGCCCACTATGTGAGTGTGCTGCTTGTGGGACAGCTTGTTTGTGGCTCCTCTGACTGATGAAGTCCTTTGGATGAAGGAGGAAACGTCTCAACAAAAAAAGGAAAAGAAACCGTCCAGATGACCTAACTTAACTTTGTTGGGTTTTAAAAATAGTGTTTAAGAAAACTTTGGAAAAAAGTACAACAGTACATAATGTAAGAGCATTGATTAAAATACGGCATGATACAAAATCATTTATTGCCCCCTTGGGAAAATGTGTTTTCGGTTTAGTGCTGTCCTAATAGCTGCCTGCACAAAAAAAATACACAAATTCACCAAACACGCTGTCAGGGGATTTTTGGTCAAGTTTGTGGATGTTTTTAACTACAATGGTTGAGAATGTTAACCGCCCATGAACCATGTGTTTGAGTTGGCAGATAGTTCTTTTCTCTCTCAGATGGGGCTGAATGAGGAGCTGATTTGATCCTGCATGTGCAGCTGTGTGGCCGAGGTCATCAGTGTCTGCCTCTGAGCCGAGAGCTGATAAGGTTATAAAGACAAGCCTCGCACGCCGCCCGTGGCAGATTCTCGTGACCGGGGCTCCATACATGTAGAACGTCTGTGTAACCTGTTGTGAAAGTCTGCTCTGGCCAGTAAAACCAGTTAAAAACCTTCTCGTGTCCTCGAGAGCGGCTTCTTTGAGTAAAATGAACAGAGGATATTTGTATCCAACACACCGCGAGTAAGACTTGATGGAAAATTCCCATTTTGATTTTCACGTTTAGTGGATTTAATGAAGAATCTGTTGATTTTTATCCCACGTAAAAGTTTTTCTGTGTAAACGTATCATAAAGCTGATTTTGTTTGTTGGCTTAAACACAAAGGCAACTCCAAAAACATAGATTTTATCATAAAACTGCACAAAAACACAAAATCTACCAGTAACATAGCAAACGTAACAGCATTTAAGGTTTGCGGTGTGTGGAAAACACAATCCAGGTTCAAAGTTGTGAGAAAAACTAAAAAGTGAACTTTGAGTTGATTGTTTTGACGGATCGGACGATGAATTGCTTCTTGGGATTTTTTGAGCTTGTAAAAAAAAAACTGAGATTAAAAAGTCCTTCCCATCCGTTTTGATTTTTGTCTTATATATATATATATATATAAAACCTGACTTGTTTTTTCTACAATTCTATTTTTTTTTCCCCCTCAGATGTAAACGGGTGTTAAAAATCAGAGAAGCACATTTTTCAGTTCTTATTGACGCCGTATTCAATGTTCGGAGAACGTTGGTTTGAGGAAACCCTGATTAGAAAACACTCCGTCAAGTTTTATTTGTTGTTTGGGAGCACGGGTTTTAAAAATCGTGTTTTTAGTTTTGATAGGGGGAAAAATAAACAGACACAGATTTGATACATTATGATTGGAAACATTAGGGTGAGATAAGATGCAACGCAAAATTAATTATAATGCAGAACAATATCGTGGACGGTCCATTGAAAGAAAACGTTTAGGACTCGATTTTTTTGACAGATCAGTAAAAACCATTAAATCATTCTTACACCGTAATGCTTCAGGAAGTACTGCCATATTAGTTTTATTTAACTTGTTCATTTACTTTAGGAGCTTAAATAAAATAAAAATGAAAGATTCTTTAAGACAAGTTTGGGGAAATAATTTACTGTGTTGATTTACAATATAATGTTATTATTATTATAAAGTTTATTCATTTTTTAAAACAAACAGTTCTGTATACAATAAGAAATACAATCATAAATAAAATGAAAGGCAGCAGAAAGAAGAAATTTTTTTATATCTGCCCCTTTTTACCAAAAAATGTATTCAAACAAAAATAATCTTCAAAAATAACAAAAACTAAAACAACTCAAGAAACAATTCATACAAATACACATTAAGCTATTTCATTTTTTTTTTTAAATCAAATCAACTTTGATCATTCTTTTAAACATACACATTGATTTGGCATTTTTAACATCACTCTCCAGATTATTCCATAATCTAATTCCTTGGATTGAAGTACTTTGTAGACAGTTCCTTCAAACTAGTTCTAAATTTAGGTTTCACAAATATTTCTATTCCCTTAAGATTATAACAACTATCTCTTTTAACAAAATTTAATTGGATATTTAAAGGTAATGTGTTTATGAGCCCTATACATAACTGATAAAATACCATAATCTACAAAATCATGGAACTTCAATAACTTCAGTTGATAAAATAAAGTACTTGATGGGTGACTGAAATGCTTCCTGGTAATAATTCTTACAGCTCTTTTCTGTAGAACAAAAATAAGATTTATAAATGTTTTGCACACTTTCCTCCAAACATCAGTACAATAGATGAAGTGTGGAACAATTATTGCGTTATACAACATATACAGAGCTTTATCATGTAATAACTCCCTTACTTTGTACAGTACTGCAATATTAGCTATTTTTATTCTTACATAATTTATGTGATGTTTCCACGTCAGCTTTTCATCAATGATAACACCCAAA